TCCATTATGACTTATCTACTAATAGATTCTTGAGTTATTGTTTAATGATTTATTTGTTTATGAAATGACTTACATCACTGAGATAGATAATAATACAGATAACTATCAAAATAATTCAGTTTGTTCTTGTGCTATATTAAAATATAAACAAAGTGTTTGATACTCATCCATCAAAAAAAAGTATGAGAATATCTCCAAAGCAATCGTTTTCTATTTGACCTATTGATTCAATGTGTCATTGAATAAATAACAATATCTTCTGTTTTGTTTTTTTCATAGATTAATCCACTTCGACTCAAACGTTATTCCATGCATGTATATCATAGAACAAATGAATTTGATTGTCTGATGATACCTTTCCTTCGTTGAATGACATATCTGGAAAAATTCACCTTATCCATCCATAGATGTCATAATACCGTTACACTGGGTATCGAGAGGTAAACGTCAGAATACCCTGCAGAGTATTAACTAAGTTGAATTTCGTTTCACAACACAACTTGTGCAAAAGAGTAACGACCTCAATACCCCAAAAGTGAAGTACATATCTTAAAAGTTGAGGAATTTGAGTGAATTTGGTGTATCGACCTCAATACCACAAAAGTGAAGTACATATTTTTTAGATTGAGAAGTTTGAGTGAACCTAGTGTGGTGAACTCGGTAATACAACATGAAGGATGTTATCTTCAACTTCTGAAATTTCGGTTGATTTTCTCCACAGCTATATATATGCTCTTCATCTAGACTGTTCCATGTAAGAAATGAAAGGGCAGGTGTGGAGTGTGACCGTCAACGTCGCTAGGCGTGAATGACTGTAGAGTTTGCGTACAGGTCATATTGTCTTCTTCAGCGAAAGGGACACCATGTCCACAACCTCAAGATAGAATCACACCTTCAAAGCTTTCAAACACTTCGATTGCGAAAAAATTTTCCGACAGCACGCACCACCGCATGTTAGTCAGATCAGAAGAGTTTTAACGAGAAACACTAACAGAATACAGCACTCAGCGTTGGTATGAACCAAGGAAGATCCATCGAGAAGCACCAACACAACAACGCACCGACTGTGGGTGTGAAAAAAACAAGGTCTACCTGCCAACACTGATACAAGCGTGATCATTTGTGGGTGGGAACAAACGACTTCCCTAGGACGGGTTCAGACGCCAGTGCATTACGTGTGAGTGCGGAAAGAGGACTTCCTATGGAAGACCTCAAATAACAGCACACAAGGTGTGAGTGCAGAGAAACGAATGCCTCAGGGAGGGCTCACAACAACAACGCACTGCATATGGGTGCCGAAAAGGGACTTTCCAAGGAAGGGCTTACAGAACAGCGCACTATATGTGGGCGCGGGAAAAGGGCTACCTCAGGAAGAGCTCACACAATATAACATCACTGTGGGTTTAAACGTCAGAGCACTAAGCACATGTCGCTGCAGTAGATATAGCAACATCAGATGTGACTGTGCAACATGCTTCTGAGTGCTTGATCACTACGAGTGTCACGAACGGGTGGATCCAGGTATCAGTGACCGCTGTGACTGCGCGATGTAAATGAAGGCGCTTCATATTTGTGGTAAAATGTCGTTCCCCTAGGGGTAATACCCCAAATTCACTCAAATTCCTCAACTTTATCGAATATATTTTGTATTAAAATGTCGTTACTCTAAGGGTAATACCCTACAATTGCAAGAAAAATGTGGATACTGGGTGTAACGAGATTATGACATCGATCTATAAACGATAGTAAAGAAGTGATTTTATACTCAAATGAATTATACAGAAAGATGCCTAGGAGTCCATTCTTTCCAACTATGCAACCCCGAGTTCGATAGCCTTAGTCGATAAAAAATTATTCGAAAATGGGTCAAGGCCAATTCACGCGGAAATGGACAACAGTTCATACCTCTACATTGGAAAACGGTTGAAGTCTGAAAACCTTCTTACAAACATTGCAATTTGGTTTAGTAAGAGCAAAAATGTCAACTTCCTCGAGAGAAATACACACTCAGAGTATTATAAGCGAAGTCATTCTCTACGCAAATATTCTGATTTAGGACCTCGGTTATCTAGACTGATGGCAGCTGAAAATTCCCTGGGCTTGCCTAAGCTGAAAACCCAAACTGTTGTCTATAATGTGACGTGAAAATATATTCGAGATGCTTACGAACCATTTTGAAATTGATTTTTCTTTCTGCGCATACATGCAACTAATAATTTTTTTAAGACACCCGAACTTTTCACAGATTATTGCAGAACGACTGATTAGAAAAAATTGAAACTTCCAGAGTATACATCTAGGATGTGGATGTGGGTGTCATTGTTGGTGTTAATATGACAAGTACACCCACACCCATATGCTTGCTTGGTTCTAGTTCACTTTAAACATATTAAACATACTGATTGGTGTAAATTACATACACGCAGCACTGTGTGTGGATGAGGGCGCTGTGATTCATATATCTAAAGAGAACGAGTACCAGATTTTTTTAGTAATAATTTTCTGATGCATTGATCAAGTAAATCAATATTTTTCTTGTCATTTAATTTAGAATAGATACAAAAGAACACTACACTAGACATTTATTAATTCCTGTTGATGATCGCGTTGTCCAATAAGAATGATGTTCTTTGTCTCTTTATCGTAAGAAGATACATAGAAATAAAAGTAGCCATTCATTCAATTCATCCAGTCAGCATATATCCTTCTATATCTAATAATATGTATGTTCATGAAGAAACTCTAATGCACAATTCTATCTGATATCCGTTATGTTAGTTCGTTTTATCAAAATTCGTTTGCATTCATTCTTTATTTAATGCCACCCTTAACCTTAATAATAAGCGAGTCAGCTGAGTCTGAAAGTCTCATTTTCAAGGAAAAAATATTGGAAAAAAAAAATAATCCTTTAAAGGTTTACATTTTCATTTGCTCTTTTTCACTTGAATTCTTATTGCGGTTCAAACCCTTATATATCGTTTCAATGACAAATACATTCATGAATTAAAGTTTAAGTAAAATACTAGAGATAGTAGAAACAGTACATATAATGAATCGGACGAATCTTTTAAGTCTTTATCAATAAGTTAATACCTTATTACTATAAAATAATAAACAATACAATACATCATATGGATAAAAGACCTAAGTATTAGTTCAATTTTATCTTTTTTTTTCATTCTATTCGTTTCTTAGAAATATTTTGATATCTGAATAACTGCTGTCATTCAAATGATTTATATAAAATGTCTAAAAATAAACAGAGAATAATCGAGTATATGTAAGATCATAAAGAAGAGACTTTAATTTTAGGTGTTTAATGCGTTGTGTTAGTAACTTAGATAAACAGTCCTCTTAAACCAGAATATTTTTTTTTATGTAGGAATTGCTTTTCTAACTCCATTATTTGACTTTAAAGAATTTATATGAAATAACACAATAAACTAGGATCATGGTTAGGATTCGAGAGGAATGACTATGGATCATATAATCTGATACCCTCTAATAAATAAAAGACTTCATATAATATCATTTAATAAAAAATTAAAGATGAAGAGAGTAGAAAAGTTGTATAATTTCATTCTTCTCTAAAGAATAAAATCAATTACCATACAAGTGTTAAGAATCAAACAGTAAAATTCAAGTGGAACTTATTTAATATTTTATTTTGTTGTCAAAATAGCAAGAAAGATCTCTGAGAAAACAGGAGGATGGATGATTCCTTCAATGTTAAGGTACTTGATCACTCTACATTCTTGGGTATAATCCATACTTCTGTTTTCTAAGAGATCTTTCTTACTATTTTGACAACAAAATAAAATATTAGATAAGTTCCACTTGAAATTTACTGTTTGATTCTTGACAATTGTATGGTAATTGATTTTATTCTTTAGAAAAGAATGAAATTATACGACTTTTCTACTCTCTTCATCTTTTATTTATTATCAAGTTATATGATCCACAGTCATTCTTCACTAGTTTTAATTGAATATTATTTTTTATTGAAAATATCGGAAATATTCAGTTTTGATACGTTGTATATAGCAATGCGATAAACTAATCATATATCAAATGCATTAGACTTCTATTGATATAAACGGAATGTACACAGTCAAAAATATCCAAAATTTTGCGTTTTAACGTGTGCATATGAACAACGCAGAATAAGATTTTTCCAAAAAATAAGTTGTAACAAGATTAGAATGTTTAAACAATGTGCAACCGTTAAAACGCCAAATTTTCGGCCATTTTTATTGGTGAGGAATGCATCAAAAGAAAGGAAAGAAGAAATTGTAATCACGCGTTAATTTCAAATTTTTAACTACACGGGGAACGACGTATCTAGTGAGAGTTGTCGTCCTTTAAATTTTTAGTCTATAATAATAATTAAGAATAGTTTACTAATATCTGTTTCAAAATAGAAGGCACCTCACGGTTTTTTGAATAACTCTTGATAGGAACAAGATAAAGAGATGCAATTTTCAGCATTAGAAAGAGAAGAATCAGGAGTCTCAGAAAAACCCTTATAACTCTTAAACGAAACAAGCTAGAAAAGTCGGCCTTGCGTAGATCGAAAGAGAACAATTTTTTTCTACTAATAGATAAATTAACTAATAGGTCAAGTTGATAAAACGGCTCCAGACAAGGGTGCTCAAAATATCCATCGAGAATGCACCTTATTGGTCCATTACTGACCAATCATATTTTAGTATATATTGATGCCCCTAAGTCTTCTCTTTCTAACGCTGAAAACCGCACCTCTCTATCTTGTTCCTATCAAGAGTTATTCAAAATACCGTGAGGTGCCTTGTATTTTGAAACAGATATTAGTTCCTCAATTGATATCATGTCACTCACAGCAGTCTGTTTTGAGAAAAAGACCAGGCTGAACACCTCGTCTTTATTTGTCTGTCTGAATGAATCTTTTTTCAATCACTCTTAAATAGGAAATATTTAATTTATAATAAATATTTTAGATATCTACTAATATTCTATGTTCAATGTCATCTAATAAAAGTAAAAGGAAAGATAATAATTCAACATTTCAACAGATGTTGAATAGAACATTTAATGATGTTCGAAAGTCTGGTGATTATTGTGGTAGTGGTCGTTTACCAGATGTTCATGATCCTAAAGTAATGATAAATGGTATACAAGAACTTATTAAATTTCCATTAGTATCATCACAAGTAAAATTAATTATTGAAAAATGTTCATTAGCACCATTTGGTAGACAAGATAAAACAATATTAGATACATCAGTAAGATAAAAAAAACAAATTTTATTATCTAATATAATTTCTTTCGTTTAGATTCGTCATACATGGCAATTAGATCCATCATCATTTATAATAACAAATTCCGAATGGAACATTTATACATTAAATAATTTAAAATCAAAAATTGTTTCTGATTTAGGTTTACATAATGATTGGATTAAAAATGATTTAATTGATTTACAATTATATAAATTCTTATTATATGAAAAAGATAGTTTTTTTAAAGTACATCGTGATAGTGAAAAAGTAGATGGAATGTTTGGTACATTAGTTATTATTTTACCATCACAATATAAGGGAGGAGAATTTGTTATTAAACATAATAATCAAGAAAAAATATTTGATTATTCGTCAACAAAATATAAATGTGATTATTATTATTTAGTTTTTTATGCTGATTGTGAACATGAAATTCTTCCAATAACAGATGGTTATCGTTTATCATTAATTTATAATATTGTCGTTAATAAAGAAAAATTAAATTCATATTCACAAATACCATCTTCTCCTTTAAATGAAAAATATATTCAAAATATTTGTCAAGCTTTAATAAAATGGTCTAAAACTATGAATAGTCCATCAAAATTAATTATTCCTTTAAAACATAAATATGTAAATAGTTTATCATTCTTAATGTTGAGTTTACTTTTTATTTAAAACATAATTTCATTATATTTTAGACAAAAGCAAATATGTTACCAAATTTATTAAAAAGTAAAGATCATACAATTGCTAATTTATTAAAATGTTCAATAGAAGAATTAAACAAAAATGATTTAAATCAAAAATATTTATTATATTGTGGAATGTTATATTATAAAATTCGAAAAACTGAACAAACTGATAATTCAAATAATTCACTAGAGGAAACAATAGGAGATACAGGTGTTGAAAATTTAAAAATTCTATATGAAATAAATGATAATTATTTTCAAGAAATATGTGAAAAATTTCATATGCCTAGAACATCTATTATTTCAGTTGATGAAACAGAATTTATAAATAAAGAACCAGAATGGAAATCATTAAAACCATTCAAAATTGCTGAAGAAGAAACAGGTAAATTTTTTTTTATAATTTAACAATGTTCTTGAAAATTCTAAATAGTTTAAAACTTATCTTAAACATTGTAGAATAATTGCAATATAATCTATTCAATTTAGAATTTATTTTGAAAATGTACTGCAGTTGTTTCTATTAATATAACACAAAAAAATTCAGATAATATCTTAGTGGTTAAGACTCGAGAGAATACGCAAAACTTATAAGATAAACATCTATTCTATTGTCTAATTTTGACTATAGAAAAAAAAAATGATGAAACCATTATTTATTCCGAAATTTGAAATATGTTATAAAATTCT